ATTATTCCGGGCCATTTTAAAAGGATGAAAGGTGAATGCGTTGAGGTAGGCGCGAAATTTTCAATGTTCAAATTTTCTTACTTTGATTGCAAGTCAGTGTGTCAGGGTATGTACATAATGTTGATCAAAAATGATTCACGCAGTTACAAATTACGAATCTTGTGTAGGTACATTATAATCATAATCTTATGCATCATCAATATATTATTATTACCTCTGATAGATTTTTTTTAACATACCTACATTGAATTTCGCAGTTCCACATTTTTGGGAAGGATCAAATTTGCCTATGAAAATATTATATCCCATTAAAACACAATAATTATTATGATAAATTANATGACCCCTTACGCCCGTATTCACAAACGATGCTTGCTTAAGTGAAGCTGCAAATCGAAAGCACAGCATTGAATAGCGCTCTGTGATTGGTTCGTGTATCACCCTGTGCGTCCACGCGCACTGTTAGACCTCATAGTAATGTTTGGAAATAATTGAAGAGAGTTCTTTACGAAACACTAGATTAATATTTTGTTTTAATACAGTGTGAGTCACGTTAAAGTGCACATATGAAAATAGATGAAACTAGACCTATTTTTATCGACAAAAAAGAGGTCAAATAATTTTTGAGATTTTTTTTTAATTTTTTATAGAATTTTTTTTCTTCCAATTACTTATTGTAAAGAAAACGTAATAACTTTTAAACCAAGCGGTATATCCTGATAAAATAAAAACAGTAATAATGCTAAATAACAGGCAATACTAAAAAAATACATAAAATACACAAACAAGGCCAACAAATTTTCTGGGTATTTTATGTATTTTTTTACTATAGCCTGTTATTTAGCATTATTACTGTTTTTATTTTATCAGGATATACCTCTTAGTTTAAAAGTTATTACGTTTTCTTTACGAGAAGTAATTGGAAGAAAAAAAATCTATAATAAATTAAAAAAAAAAACTCAAAAATTTTTTGACCTTTTTTTTGTCGATAAAAATAGGTCTAGTTTCACATATTTTCATATGTACACTTTAACGTGACTCACACTGTATAACCAGACCGATTCGTGCTCATATTATTTAGCTCTTTTTCTAAATGCCGCGAAAGCAATGAATGATTTTTTGTCGCTTGGTAACGGATGTGAAAATCCAACAGATATAATTTGACGTAGGTAGTTAGATTATAATACGAGTACCTATATGATAAACTGACGAAGTTCACAATTTCACGTTGACATTACACTGTCGAGAATATTTTGGTACAATCAAAGCCCATCGTATTAAAAATATTTGTAGTAATATAGCATCTAACTATTTAAGATACTAACATAATATAACATACGTTCTATCATGTTGAATTGGACTGCCTATGAATCATACTCCCACTAGTTATGTATTAAGGAGTGTAATATTAAAAGATTTAAGAGTTGTTGTTTGTATACTTTCAATCTCATATCGATCATGACAATGATAACGAATTACCACAACAATTCCTTATCAGCACACCCATTAATAACATTCACCTAAGGTTGATGGTACACTGAGCTCATAAATATTAGGGCCATTGAGTTACTGTTTTTGACCATGCCTCCATTTGATTCAATTATGGCAGTTTTATTGATTTTTTTTTAAAATAAGCTCATTAATCTACATCATGACGCAAGACACATTAAATTTTTGTTGTTACAAACAATGTTTGTAAACAATTTTGTCCTGTTTATTTTTATCTGCTTCATTGTAACTTTTTTTTTCTAATCTAGTACATTTCAGTGTCGATCTTGATGATTTTGTAACGTGTGATTAGTTGCTGAAGATGATGATTCAGCTAAATGTAACAAAAATACCACCGATCCATTAAACGTTTTTTCAATTGGCTTAATTAAACAATTTTATCTCAAGAATAGATTTTTACTCGTACTTTAATTCTACTATACAGAGATTATGAGATTTTGTGTTTGTTAAAAAATACAAAAATAACTACCCTCAATGTACCACCATCCTAACTCTCCTTGTCAAATAATCGACCTTAACAGAGTTGGATGTACACCCACGTGCTCTAAAAGACAATGCTCAATTACTTCTGCCACCTACCGTCATCATTGTTGAGCTTAATAAGCTTCTCAATATTGTTTAAATTAGGTAGAGTCAAGAAAACAAATATGGAAATGAAAATAAATTGAAAGAACAAGGTATTAATGTAACAATGAAGATTGTTATCAGCTTTAGAATTTATGAAGGTGTATGATATTGTTTAGAAAGCTTAGTAAATGTCAATCTGAAGGCTCTTCACGAAATGAAATGTTTAAGGTAATTTGTCAGAATTCTAATCGTATGTAAGGTAATCAAGAATCAGTAACTTAATCGATTTAGGTACGTAAAGAAAAATAAATTTATGCGGCGGCACACGTGGAGTATTAATAAAAAATACACGGGTCCCGTACGTAGTGGCGAAGGTCAATTTAGCGAAGTACGTTTTAGCGAAAAACACTCATGGTGGTACGCTGGAACGAAAGGCTGCTGAAGCGAAATGCTCGCGGCCGAAAAAGTTATTTTAATGACCTTTACCACGCGAATAGTTATGATAAATGCCTGATTTTTTATTAATACTAGGCCTACCTGATTCAGAAGTGTTTACATCCATAACACGAATTACTAAAAACGTTAAAAATCTTGTACCTGTGTTGTAAAAAACATAACTCGAAGACTATCAAAACTTCCATAACATTAGACACCATACTTATAATATTTGAAGTAATTTTATATCATCCAACCCAGAAATAGACAGACGTTGTAAAATTCAATTCAACCATAGTATACGACCGACACATCTTGAAAGACAATATCGTCACCTCAAAACTATAGTATGACTGTTGACATTATATGACTTGACTTTTATATTTCTATAAATGAAATGTGTAAAATAAGACTTGGGAGATTTATCTCCGTAAGGCAGATAAGTTTAATGTGAACCGTGTGCGGTACAAGTTTGTAACACAGAAAAAAGATTCAGTAGGTTCACTAAGGCTGAGTTGCACCACCTAACGTTGACCGTAACTATGATGATAACCGGTGTTTTTGTATGGAGTTTGACCGATTTTTGATGTTTGTCAAATTAAAGTAGGATGGTGCAACCTAGCCTAAGTACCAATATGACTATGTCGTGTCAACCTTAAAACACTTCTACGTTTCGAAATTAGGTAGTACATCAAATCAAATATATTTATTCAATTCAGACCAGTATTTTGGCACTTATGAACGTCAAAGATAATAAAAATATGGGGCAGTTTACATGTCTCCTTATCTTTGGGCCCAAACAACATTAAGGCAAGCGCATCAAAAATAGCATCGATAAAAATCCTTACAAAATTAGACTAACTTATAATATTATCAAAGCACGTGCGTAAAGACGTTCCCGTTGTTTTTGAGTCTATTCTCATCTCACTCACTCGCAGCTAGAAGCCGATATGAGTGACAGCGAGACCTAAAAAGTTAAAAAAGCAAGAGCATGTAGCTCTGATCTTCAGAATCTCTTCAGAATAGTTCAGGGATGTATTTTGTAAGAGTTGGTGAAACTCTGCACTCTACGTACCTAGATATCCATTATAGCCATACTGATTGTGTGTCCATTGTAGTTCAAATGCGCGTGAGCAGTAAAAAAACACCAAAATCCAGGATCATATTACGAAAATCCATTAAGGGAGGCAATAAAAATAGATCTATGGACGTGTAAGCAACGATCCTAAATTCAGTCATTCGAAATAAAACGTCAATAGGCGCCTTTGGAACTAACTAATTGATAAAGCGGGTGTGACTTTACTAGTTTTTTTTTTCCAATTCTCTTTTTTTCATTTGTTAAATGTAGAGAAAACGAATGTAGATAAGACTGTCCATTTTCACATAAATAATTACTTAGGAGAATGCAGTTTTTATACTTTGATTCTAGTATATTATGTCCAAATGTAGAGCTACATTTGGAAATAATATACTCTCCGAGTGAAAACTTATTATTACTAACTCCACATAAGAAATTGACCACTCAAAATTATTATTTACTATTTATTAAACTAAGAATCCACTAGTATTCAAGCACACAATACCAGCAACTATGAATTTATTACCGTCTCTACAACAGCGTAAAATAAAATTATTTAACAGAATAACGTATTTTACACTGCAAGTGAAAACAAATTTTGTGCACATTGAATTCCATTGGGCGGAACAAACTGCATTGAATGGACTCACAAACGATACAAGAATGTTGTGGAAGATGACTTTGTACCTTCTAAGGAATACAACGGATTGTACTTAGCGTGTTATTCTCGGTGTTTACTGAAATCCTTATTCTGATGTTGAAAATAAACTTATTTGGTTAACGAACTACATATTTTTGATCATAAATAGTGTGTTTAAACACTGTTTATTATGGCTCTTGTAGTGTTATTATTAGATAGCATTGAAGATATGATTGATATGGTAGACCAACTACAACGTGAATCAGCAAAAGTAGGGTTAAAAATGAATTTGTCAAAAACGAAAATCATGACGAACATTGAAAATGCGAAAAATCACGTCCTACCTGTAGAATTGGTCGACCACTACATTTATCTAGGCCACAAAATNATTGCGCTGAATTGCATCGACCCTGAAGTTAAAGGTGTCATTAATGATCATTTTTACGTAGATGACATGATTTTAAGTTTGGACAATAAATTAGATTTATTAAAATTATGCGAAAAAACAAAAGACGTCTTAAAATCAGGTTGCTTTCCGTTACGAAAGTGGGTTTTTAACTTTAAGTGTGATCAACATTTAACTTCATTCGGTGACTACAAAGACTTATCATTAGGAGATAACGTTCACAGCAAAACTTTGGGTTTAGGTTTGTTTCACACTACAGATGAAAANTTTCATCCAAACATCACTTTACGTTGTTGCTGTTCCGTCACGAGCATAAACAGTTATTACACGCAGGCCCTCAAACCCTCTTGTACAACATCAGGGAGATGTGGTGGCCTATAGCTGGTAGGAATATTGCAAGATCGGTAGTACATGATTGTGTAATCTGCAAACGATTGAGAGGCAAAACTCTGGCTCCTCTGATGGGAAATTTACCTGAGGAGCGCATAACTCCTAGTTTTCCATTTATGCGTTGTGGAGTCGACTATGCGGGTCCAATGTTCATACTCAATCGCAAGGGTAGAGGATCCAGGGTAACAAAATGTTACATATGTTTATTCGTCTGTTTGGTCACGCGCGCTATGCACCTGGAACTAGTCACTGATCTCTCAACAGATGCATATTTGTTAGCCTTAAAGAGATTTATTTCTCGCCGTGGAAAACCTAATGAAATCTTTTCGGACAACGGCAAGAATTTTGTTGGTCTAGCAAATGAATTTACAAGGTTTTTATCAAATTGTTCATCTGAAATAATTGAATTTGCCACTAATCAAAACATTAAATTCACTTTTATACCTCCTTATGCGCCTCATTTTGGTGGTTTGTGGGAGGCTGGTGTTAAATCCTGCAAGTATCACTTGCGTCGCGTGATAGGGAACTCGCACATGACATATGAGGAGTTTGGCACAGTACTGACTCAAGTAGAGGCTGTCCTAAACTCTCGTCCCCTAAGTCCTATGTCCTCAGATCCGCAAGACTATAACCCATTAACTCCATCTCACTTCCTGGTTGGTCGTCCGCTCACTGCGCCTGCCACCGATGACCTGAAAGACGCACCTGCTCATCGGCTCTCACGCTATCAACGAGTGGAGCAAATTCGCCAGCACTTTTGGGATCGATGGGCCAAGGAGTACATATCCGAACTTCAGACGAGATCGAAATGGAGGAACAACACAAACGAGCTTCAACCTGGGACATTGGTTGTCATCAAGGAGGACAAGCAGCCACCTCTCAAATGGAGCCTTGGACGCGTTGTGAGGTCCATTCCCGGGAAGGATGGCGTAAGCAGAGTTGCTGACATCCAGACGTCTTCAGGAATCGTTCGACGCGCCTTCGTGAAGATTTGTCCTCTAGTGGACTGTTAGTTCATCTTTATGATTAGGCTGAAAGAGGGTACTTTCAGGGCCGGGGGTATGTCTAGTAGTTAACGGTAGCATTATTTTGTGTCGGTGTCATAACCATGGCATTATTAGCATCATAGACTAATTTGAAGTGGCGCCACTGAGCCACCCCACTAATTTAAAAATATGTTTTTTGTCAATTATTAATACGATTCGCTTTCAAATACTTGTAACGACTTAACGCTTTAAATTAACTGAAACTGAGAATATACGCAATTTTATGAAGAAAAAGCATTTCAATTCGCAACATATCAACACGCCTCTTCGAGTTACGAGCATCGCAGCAACAGGTGTATTAGTAAATATTCTTGACTTAAAATAATGTAAAGATATTATGTAATTTGTAAACATACGTTTTGACTGTAGTTTTAAAGACAATGTTGCAGAACTCAATTCTTCTCGCCTCTTCTGTGTACCTACCATGAGTTTACGATAGGTGTGCTCGCTAGCGAGTACGTCAAAAATATCTATGAAGATTTTCTTTCTTGAAAGTAGCCGCTAGGGGCTGCACAATATGTCAAACAATTAATGTCATTTTTTACGCAGTCGCTAGCGAGCACACCTAACGTTAACCCATGGTAAGCACACTGAAATTAGTTTTACTTACGAGTAGGTAAATGTAAAGGTAAAATAAAATTCTATTCTAAAATTTATTTTTATTCATTCTGTCTATTCGTTTGTTTCAGACTTTCCACAAACATCCAGAATACGGCCTCAGATCGTCTAAATAAGTGGAGATATCTTGAAAATCAAATAGCGCCGCCCACAGCATAATGCTCGAGCGAGAACCGAACCTGTGATGGCGCACTAAATTAACCAGCGGACGTTTACTGCCGACCATTTGTGGACCGGCGACAGTCATTGGTGGCACAGACTAACAAAAGTAAACAGTGACAATAAGCGTGAATCATAATGTGTCGAAATCGTACAATAGTAATGATTAGAATGTACTTACGTTTCTAATTTCAGCAAAGGAAATGCGAGAAGATCATAATTTGTACCTACACCTACAGCCAGCGCTAAAAAACTGACAATCTACAGTGTGAGTCACGTTAAAGTGTACATATGAAAATAAATGAAACTAGACCTATTTTTATCGACAAAAAAGAGGTCAAAAAGTTTTTGAGATTTTTTTTTAATTTTTTATAGAATTTTTTTTTCTTCCAATTACTTATTGTAAAGAAAACGTAATAACTTTTAAACTAAGCGGTATATCCTGATAAAATAAAAACAGTAATAATGCTAAATAACAGGCGATACTAAAAAAATACATAAAATACACAAAAAATGACAACAAATAATAAAAAATGATACTTTTCGAAAAAAATCTGCTTTAAAATTCGTGTTTTTTAGGTTATTTGATAAATTTCTCCAAAAAATGCCCCTATAACAGGTGGTTTTTATTACTTTTTATTATTCTCTATCGTATTATCTTTGTAAAACCAAAAATTGCATGTCTCTATCCCTATCACAACGTTTGCAATGATCGTTTGAACTAAGCCTCTCCGGGCGCGCCATTCAAAGCTTCGTTATCAACGAAACTGAAAATGGCTCTCGATTTGTAATTTCGATAAAGACAAGTTAGATTTCAAATAAAAACAAAAGATTTCGAAGAAAAATAAGCATTTTAGTTAAAATTAAAATTGTCTCTACCTGTAGTAGTTCACAATAAGTAATTGGAAGAAAAAAAATTCTATAAAAAATTAAAAAAAAATCTCAAAAAATTTTTGACCTCTTTTTTGTCGATAAAAATAGGTCTAGTTTCATTTATTTTCATATGTACACTTTAACGTGACTCACACTGTATAAATACTACGATAAAAATCGACTTAAATCGTAGTAGGTACTTATTTAGGTACTATTCTGTGCTTAAACTCAGATAAAAAAGTCTCAGTATTCTTAACAATACTTCACATTGCAATTCAAATTATAGTTTTCTAGATGTTGATAATACTCTACATTAAATTATATTGTTTGATAATTTTCCAGTTCCATATGGCGCTAATTATAAGCAAGGTTACAAGTAGGAACACATTAAATTCATGAGATATAATTTGTAAAGGAGTTCAAACGAGTTGAGCCAATGCCTACGAGTTGAAAACCAGCGGATTTTCCCGGAAATTTCAAGATTTTCCCAATTGAACAATAATAACAAAGAATGTTTTTCCAAAGAAATGGAAAGACCAAAACAGGTCAACTGTATGGACGTTGATTGCCCTAAATAATAACGACAAATAATCGAAAATAACGATGTCTTCCCTTTAAAATCGTTTGATGTTAGTTCGGCGATGCGTTAAAGGTTAAGAGACAAATTGCTATGTATTCTTTCTTGTGCTATTAGTATTTAATGGGTCACAGTAATTCTATAAACTATTCAGGAGCATTTTATTTCTTAATAGAATTGATAAATTAATTATTATCTGGGTTATTTTATATTAATTTTAGATAACACAAATATTATTTTAAGCTATAAATACTCGTGTTTGCGATGTGCAAGTTTGCATTAGAATTTGTATTCGGTGGATTTTCATTATAAGTATAAATTCCATTATACTATAAAGTGAATTTTGTTGCTTTAGGACGTGAACAGCTTGTGCAAAATATACCCATATAAGGTAAACATGCAGATGAGACCATTGATTCGATAATAATTAAATATGTACGAGTAATTCATATTTTAAGCGTGTGAATATATGTATAAGAAATCCTTTTAATTCATAAAGCTAACAAGAAAGCAAAATAAAAACAATATCACACTTCTTTCACTATAATCAGGCAATTAATATGCTCGTGCGCATCTGATAGCAAAATGGCGGCTGTGGGAGGGAAGGCGCGCGCTGCTGATTGGTTATCATTAAATGACTCGATCGGCCTTGAGCCCAGTAGCTTATTCACATGGTTTATTGTGTCTATCTCTTGATCTTTTGAATCATTTAAAACCTATTTTGAATTTTATAGCCTACTGTCTGAAGCAAGAGCTTGTAAATTGGTTGGTATAGAAATAAATCACGTCTTACAAATCTCTCTACCTAAACTTATTGTCTCTGTGCCTGTATTTTTTTATTAAGGTAAGTGTTCATCAAAATCCCAGAGCTTTATCTCTAGCATGAACAACTTTCGTCTTCGAATCGTTTGCGTATTCGATAAAATTCGATACTCAATCTTCGAATTAAACGATAACGTGACAATTTTGATTCTCAAAATAAGTTTCGTGCAACCACATCTCATACTAAGTTCACTTTATGAGACGCTCACAAGGGCGCTGTTGTAGTTTTGTTACTAAATCTTTCGATGGCGATTCGAGTACCTACGCAAACGATTTGAACTCGAAAGTTTTTCGTGCTAGCCGTACTTGAAAAGATATGGGGTACATACGAGTGTATTCAGTGTTACTTATTTTGTACTAGCTTTAGCTCCCTTTTTCGCCTGCATTCATATTAATTAGGTTTAGACCTAACTGACCGAGCTCGATAATCGCCATTATAAAATTAAATTAATGCAATAAGGGGGCGTCCATAAATTACGTGAGACAATTTTGGCTATTTTTCAACCCCCCCGCCCCCCTTGGTGAGATTTGGTGAGATTTTGCCTGACCCCCTCCCCCACCCCCTAATCTCACGTGATATTTAAAAAAAATCCGAAATTTAATATCATCATCATCATCATCATCATTATGCTTGCTTCTGAAATATATTTTGTTAACGACGGACAACTACGGAACCCTACACTGTGCGTGGCACGACACGCACTTGGCCAATTTTTTTACTTAAGATTTAAACCCAGTTTTCTGGCAAACTCTTTTTCTCTATTTCTTGCGGAAAAAATTACGTGATATTTCCTTAGACCCCCCTCCCCCCCCCGTGAGATTTAGTGAGGTTTTTGTTGACCCCCCCCCCCCCCCCCCCTAAAAGTCTCACGTAATTTATGGACGCCCCCTAAACCACCGATATACCTACAATACACAAGTCATAAGATATTATAGTGTGATACAAGCGAAATATCGTGGGTTCAACCAGTATAATAGAAACAGCTTAAAACTACATTTCACGTACGATGAGCAATTAGCAGTTATTTTTAAAATTCGCTTGCATATTTCGCGTGACGGTTAAAACGTGGAATTAACGAAAGTCCTTATACAATGCTTCATAGTAATTACACAGCCCGTTCGTTGTAGTTGTGGGCGCAGGAGTGTAAATATTTGATTTGGTAATTACTTTAGTCTATACAAATTGTCACCTATTTACTTGTCTTTGTTAAATGCTACATTTTACACGTGGTTAATTACAGTGCATTAACCCAAAATAGTGCCTATTAAACTTGGTACTTGATTCATACAAACAGTCTACTTTTCGGACACCATTCTCGAGAAAATTCAGTGGAGAAAAATGGTACCTAGGTACTTAAAGTACCTATTGCGTATTTGTATCAAATTGACTTTAATTACAACAATAAGAACCTTAAAAGTTGATCTTGATATTAACATAACCTCTTATACCTACCAGATAGTTCATATTTTCTCAATGATTTTTATATTGTGTGCATCCAACTAGACTCAAACCTCTGCTTCTAAATACGTAACAACGATACACAAAAAAATAATAGGTCCTACCAAAAAATATCTTCAATATTTTGTTCGCAAGTTTTACACACACACATTCGCGTTACTTCATGTAAAACTCGAGCCAGTTTAGAGTTGAGAAGTACCTACAACTTGAAGGGGGTCACTTAGGGGAGACCGAGGTAAGTTCTAACAGAGGAGAGTGTCGACTTAGTCGATTTTTGAAACTACATAATTAACTATTAACAAGCTTGTTCTTGAGTGGCGACCACGAGCCGGAAGACGTAGCGTGGGCAGGCCTCCCACTAGGTGGACCAACGTTCTGATGAAGGTCGCGGGAGGCGCCGGATGCGAGCGGCGCAGGACCGGTCTTTGTGGAAGTCCTTGGGGGAGGCCTTTGTCCAGC